TCCGTGCAAAATCTGCTGGCATAAAACGAGCTAGCAACCCTAAATTTAATTTTCATTTATTTTGGTTATATCTGTAGAAGTGATTTTAAACATATTTGTTTTTTTATTCACAATAAAATTTAATATTTTTCCACACACTCCTAAATCTAACAAATGCATCGGGTCGATGGGGAATTGTGAAACCATTTTTATATTTATATCCTATAATATACATTTGGTATGCCTAAAATAGTCTTTATGATGATTTGGATCTGCTCTTGTATAAAAATCAGTATCCGTCCTCAACGGCCCACACTCTTTCGAAAACGTAGTTGTGTGGTTAATCCGCTTTCCAGCTTGAACGCATTTTGAGCAACCACTAAATGCGTTATGCCCTACGACACCGCAAAGGAATGTCCTTGCCGGTGCGTCGCACACAAATGCTCGCAGTTTAATTTTAAAAACTTTGTTATTAATTTCCAATCCATAAGTGCTTAGTTCTTTAAATTCATCTGCAAAATCGTGCAAAAAGTTATTCACATTCGCAGGTTTTTCATTCCCTAAATATGCGCCAATGAGAAAAACAAAGCCATTTCCCAAATTGACAACATGACCAAGAATAGGCCATAAATTTTTGCGAGAGCTCTTGAAGAGGGGTAAACCATCAACCCCTACATCAAGCACAATTTCTTCCACAGCACTAACTCTTTCCGAAATTGATAACAAATAAGATTTTATGCCTAAGTGGAAGTATTCTCCAGGGCAAACAGTTCTAATTATAGTTTTGTTTCAACTTTTTATAATAGATTTTGGGACAGGGAACTTCTATTTTTTCTGACCTTAGTATATTTAAGTAGTCATCGAAAGCGGATCTAGTTGGGTGATGCTTTTTATAAAAATCAACTAATTTTTCTCTAATTGATTTATTACTAAGACTTTTTGTGATACTGTATGCTTCAGTTAAATTTTCATTATCATTATTGTTAATAGGAGGCGGAAGATTTGTTATAACCAGGGAACGGATTTTATGAAAATTGCCTTTTTTTCTGCTAAAGAGATAGAGTATATTCGATTAAGAATGTCCACGATTTAGCTTTCCCTGATTCCATATATACACATTTGATGTTGCCTTTTTTATGATATTTGCCTTTTTTAAGATATTTGCCTTTTTTTGCCTTTTCTACCTTTTAAAAAGTACATTTAGTACATTCAAGGCTTTTCTTCGCGAAAATCGAATGAAAATTCTGCCAGAAAACTACAAAATGCATCTTGTGGTTCAATGTTACTACAACTATACAGATTAAAGTTTTATGAGTTAGAAACTCGAAAGGCTAAAATAGTCAAAGATTCAAAGTACAAATTTTTCAGATAATGAAACTAGTTCATAGCTTTTCTCTTTTTACTTGTATGAGGTGGGTTTTGTCGAAGGCTGAGGTATGGTCAGCCGCTCCAGAGTTCAGCGAAGGTCCCACTAACCCACACACACACACGCGGCTATCTAGAAGGCCGGCAACTTGTCGTGCAGGGGAGAGCGGAAGGTAAAGGGCGAGAGTCGGCAGTCGGTGTCGGAGATTATCCGGCGGGTAATTGTACGG